GGGACACCCAAGAACAATATTACATCTTGTAAAAAGGGGCATAATTGGTGCCCTTTAAATGTTAAGTTTAACGTAAGATTAATTTATTATATTTTATATTTATTTATTTTTGTGTATATTTTTCTTTTGTTTTCTTGGAAGCTATGTTTATAGTTAAATATTGTAATGTTGTGTTAACCATTCAATACATTAAAAGCATTACATTTGCATGTTTGCTAACTGCTTTGCCCTTTAAATGTTAAGTTTAACGTAAGATTAATTTATTATATTTTATATTTATTTATTTTTGTGTATATTTTTCTTTTGTTTTCTTGGAAGCTATGTTTATAGTTAAATATTGTAATGTTGTGTTAACCATTCAATACATTAAAAGCATTAAATCTGCATGTTTGCTAACTGCTTTGCTTAGAATGTATATTTTCATATATTATTTGTATTTATTTGAACATTTAAAAAATAATTTTTGGTTAATGAAATAAAGCCGGACTAAAATAAAATCTAAATATGAAATGAAAATTAGAAATGCCTTGAATTCGCCTATAATAAGCTTATGTCAGGGTTCCCACGCTTCTTGAAAGTACTTGAATGTCAGATATATGGATTCAAGGCCTGGAAAGTACTTGAAAACAAACATAGGTCCTTGAAAGTGCTTGAATTAAATTTGAAATCAATTTTGTTTATGCAGGGATTAAAGTTTTCCGTCGCTACGACGGATTTCCGTCAATTGGAGAAAAAAAATAAAATGAGGGGAAAAGAAACATGTAGCGCATTGTTGTTGTTGTTCTGCCGGCACACCAAAAATCATCCCCGCCACGGCTCCAGCTTCTCAGTGACAACATAGTGACGCCGCTCGCATCCTTCACAGTCGGGTTATTAGCAGAGAACACAGAGCAGGACTTGAATTTCGGTGCGGGATTGCGGCTATTAATAACAATTCTACTCATTCCCGCAGGTTCCGCGCTTATAACACGATGACAGATGATGGAACGTATCATTTGCACGTGCTTTCGCGTCTTGAGATCTCATTTTCTGTGCGCCCACAGATCACGATAAGGAGAGTGACAGCTTTTAATAATTATTAAGGGAGTTTGCCAATGTGACATTGATTCAATACAACAGTTCAGTAAACAAGTACTGCCTGATTTTGCTCCATTTCTTTAACGAAAATAGTTCAAAATAAAGTAACAGCTCAGCCGCTGCGCATCTCTAAAAGCAAACACAGCGGTGTTTCATTCATTCAATGAAAGTGCGCTTTTGAACGAATCTAGTGAGT